AAAAAAAAGATAAATACTCATGCTAAAACTAATTTTGGAAGCGCACCTTCAAATGTATCGTCTCCTTCAGCCATTAACTCGTCGTCCGAACATATATTTAATATATGCACGAGCATCTCCGTTACTGTAAAGAAGAATTCTTGCACTTCTTAATAAGAAAAAATTCCAAATTTACAAACCTTTCTCGCCGACAAACGGTAGTGACCACGTAAACACATCCATAAAATTTGGCAGCCAATATGGATGCGGACTACAATTGAATTGCCGAATATTCATCACATTGTTCTCGTATTTCAGGATGGCCGCTGAAGACAAAAAATTTTAATTTTGTCGGATAGCAAGTTCTGAGTACAAACACTGATCTATACAGACAATTATAAATCAATTCGATGGGAGCCAGTTCTCGCCCAGGAAATCTCACTCATATAAAAAATCTTAGCACTAGCACCAAACACACAGGAAGGTGTTCCAACGAGAACTGGACCCAAGAACTCCGTATGGAGAGCGATTGTTGCATCTTCCAAAGGTAAAAGTTATTGTTTTCTAGGATACTTGCAAGATTTCAGCTCAAAATGCGAATTGGTTAGAAACTCAACATGTTCATGGAAAAGAAAATTCATCCCTTGTTTTCACCGAATTTCAGATAGAAACGGAAGAACATCTTCTCGAATAACAATCAAGATATATAAGGTTCTCCATCAGGAGCCATTAACTCATGATCTATATTGGCCTAGCTAATCTCACTTTTGAAAAAAAGCGTAAATTCAAAGGGATTAAGAATTAAGAATGGCCCGCGATGAGGTAAAAATCATAGTGCAAAACAATTGAAACTTGCCTTTGTTGTTATATACATCGAGATAATTTGGAGCACTAAATATAGTAATGAGTGAAGGAAATCCCGTCGCTTGCGATTTTCGGTACATTCGATACCTATGTATGGTTTTTATGAGTACATTCATAACGAATTCATTCGATGCAAAGAAAGACCATCTTAAGCTTAAGGAGTCTCTTCTTACCCCGCATCCTGAGCCTCATGGGCGCGAATTATAGACAAAAGATTGTTGTGCTGGAGAAAGTCACAACATGCAGCGTAACTAAATAACAGGAAATTAAATTCTTACATACTCCTCTAGATTAAAGATTTAAACGTGCAATCATTCATACTGTATCTCCTAACAGAAACATTTATATACGCAGCAAAGACTAATCTCTATCTTATCAAAAATGCTGAGTTAAAAGGATAAAGTGACTCACCTATAGAAATAGGAACAACCACGAACAGAATTATGGCTGAACTGTTCGGCGTTCCTTTCGCTACCGAAATCCTCGAGAGGATCTGACCACAAGAGATCACACATTGGGCCAAAGGCTGGTGGCTCTTTGAAGCGATCCAGCTAAAAGGAAAAAAATTGTCTATCATAGCGGAGAAACCAAAGCACACCATCTCGAATAAATTACATCTCAACATACCCTTTTAATATCATCTAGTGTGTGAATCTCAGGAGACAGCCCACCATGCACGCACAAGAACTGCTGGTTCATCAACGCCGCCAACGGCAAAGCGTCAAATGAATCCATGCAAACATCGTAGACACGCTCCGAATACTTGATTTTGCCTAGAA